AACATGTAGTCACAAATTTCTCACATGCTCGGTTGTTATTTCTTGCGAGAAATGTGATAGTACTACTTAAAACAGTCTCATCCAACCGGGGAATGTAAAATTATCTTACAGTTTTTATATAAGATGTACTTAGTGCTGTGGTTTTGGGTAGTCGCGGGCAGTCGACGACTACTTAGCTGCAAATTGAAAAAAAAAATGTTTACAAAATAGGACAAATACAGCAATCCAATGAGAGCAAAATCTCACCGCCAATGTTAAATATTAAAAATACACTGCACCCAAGTCAGTCCCCTCGAACACTTGCGCCCCCAATTAACAAGTTCGACAAAAAATTTTAAAAAATATTAAATATGAAATTACTAGCGTCTGATATACATGCTCAGGTTAATTTAAAAATCAGTGAATTTGAAATGGCAACCAGGTAGACAAGTTTAAAAAGATTTTAAATCGTTCAATTCAAGTGGATAGCGCCCCTAATATACATGTTCAGGGAAAGTTTAAAAAATGTTAAATCTAGAAAATCTTTAAAGAAATATAAAACTTTAAAAAGCTAGCGCCAATGATAGACAAATTGCGGTAAAAGTTGAATAAAAATGTTAAATTTCAAGTGGCTTGCGCCCCTGGTAGACAAGTTCGGGTGAAAATTAGAAATAGCTGGTGCACCTGGTAAACATGTTCAGGATGAAACTTGAAATAGTCTGCGCCCCTGATATACATGATCGGGGATACAAAATCGTTAAATTTGAAATGGCTTGCACCACGGGTAAACTTATGCCGGTAAAAATTGATCAAAATAGTGTTACGTTTAAAATAATAAGTATGAGTAGTTTGCCATAATCCAGTAAGTTAAGTGAAAAATGAGTAGACACTCGTAACCGTGTGTAGGTATAGTACACGGTAAGAAAAAAGTACCCAAAATTAAGTTCCTTTAACTCAACACGTGGCTTCAGCGGGGCTAGGTAAAATTAAGTTAAACAAGAAAACTCAATTTTGAGTAATCCTGATGAAGAATCCATTGAGTAAAAATTACTTAACGATCAATCGAATGGAATGATTGAAAAATACCCAACGTACCAGCATGCACCGGTTTTCGTTGCAACTTTTTTTGTTACTACCCCCTACGGATACCATACACAAACGATATCATAGATGGTACGACCATACCGCATAGAGTTAGGATGATACCCTGAATTGGTGGTTAGGCGTTTCTTATGTTTATGCGGAAACTAACGAAGACTAATGCGAGGACTAATTGAGCAGGAACGGAGGCGATGGAGCACAAACAAATGACAGCGTCGATGGCAGTGCAGGTTGCTATAATTTTTATCCAGAATTAAGTTAAAAGTACCCAACGGTGAAAACATAACGGTTGAGTACTATTAACTGAAAAATGAGTTCTTTTTTACTTTGAATCGCAGCGTGTTTTAGTTAAACGAAATGTATCGATAAATATTTCAGGATATTCTTCGCAAATTACTTTACGCGATACAATTCACTAACATGTACATTTTAAACAACTGCGGAAAGTACTAATTCAATCAATAATGACAAATACTACGTTTTGAGCTAAACGATGATTAACAGAAAATTAACTTAAATTTGAGTTCATCTATTATTACTCAATAGATGAGTAAATTTGACCCATCGCCGTTTTTCTGATTCACTCAATGGTAGACCTCAAATGATAGAACCCAACGGTGAGTTTTTTTAAACTTAATTGTGAGTATTTTTTTTCTTACCGTGTAGAACAGGCCACACCGCCCGCATTCGAACCAACCCTGCGCATAAGAACGTTTGACAGCCAGCTTGAAAACGTTCAGGCGGAAGCAGAAGGCGAGAAACACAAAAGCAGATAGACTCACCGCCATCACTCCGGTAAGAACGCGTCGTAGGATCGGACGGTGAAAATTGCCGCGGTTGCGTCCAAACTTGTCTAGGCAAAGAAATTTGCAACGAAACTTCCCAGAGAATAGAACTAGTGACGTGACGTGATGTGTTTATGCGTGTACTTCGGGCGTGTTCGTGCGTGAACAGTTGACAGTGGAAAAAAGCCAACATCTCGATCATTCGCCCGGGAACCGACGAGTAGAAGCGGAGGGCACGTGAAACGTTTTTTTTTTTCGTTCACACGAACGACCGCTAGATTCTTCCGCACGAGCTTTAATCGTGGTCATCTTCATTGAGAGCAAAGGGGACGATTTGGCCAACTGAACGAGCTACCACTAAACCCCCACTGGCCGTCGGGATCGTCTACCGAAGCCCTTGCACGAGCACCAGCAACCGCGTGGTGACCGGTGCCGAAACCACCATACGACGGACGAACAAAGCATAATTACATGCAGAACCATCACTTTGTTTGAACCGTGGCCTTCATCAGATCGAGGCACCGAAAACGAACGGCCGAGAAGAAGACATCTGCACGATAGAACGCACCCCACGGGTAACGATCATAGGTACCCGATCAAGCGAGAATCGAGCGAAAACACCTCCCAACAGGAGTGTTATAAGAATTTGTTCATAGGATGTTTTTTCTCCACTACGTCTGGATTCGGAGGCTACCCAGCCGCTCGGTAGCACACCGCAGGACGGATCATCCATCATCAAACGTCGGTGCACATTCAGTGCAGTGATGTACATTGTAGGAGCGGCGTGAAGGCGTGCTGGTTTCGACCAGCCCATACGAGGTTCGCTGTGGCCCAACGGATTTCTTGGATTTGTTTTCCGTCGATCTTGTTTTCCGTGCTGAGCTCCAATGCTACCGACGCCAGGAAGGCAGCTCCCCACACCTGGACCCTACCTATCGACCCATCAACTTATGAACCGGGGATCAACGGATTTACTTCCTTTTCGAAGGAAGGCGTGATCAGAGATGTTATGCCTCAGAACATCCCGGCGGCGCCGACTGGGATTGAACCCAGGCCTGCTGGGGTGAGAGGTAATCACGCGTACCACTACACCACCGGCGCCGTTGATTTGGAAAATGTTCACTAAGATTTGACACTTTGAAAATAAATGAACATGTTCGAAAATCCCTCTGTTGTTGATCGGCCGTTTTTCGAGAAAGCGTCTGTCAAAATTGATTCCTTGTCGGTCAGAAATAAGTTTGCTGGAATAGCAGATTTATTTGAAAATTTTCCATCTGTCAAATTTAAGTAAAAATTCACCAAATGGAACACAGCCTTTATAACTTGAGCACAGAATCGTTTCTTGTTGTGTTTGTCGTATTAGATGCTAGATAAAAACTTCTTTTATCGATACGTGTGCTGAAAATACCTGGGCCGTGTGGATTAAAGAAGAAAGTCGACGAAGAGAATCTTGTCAGTGTTACTTAGGACCTAATGCAATATTCAGCTTGAATTGATTCGCTTAGCTGTAGCAATGTAAACAGAAAATCGATGAAGAGAATCAAACATTACAAGTAGGCCCTTTTGAACGCTCACTGTCGAATTTCAGAACCTAGCACTGAAAAATCTCGACGGACCTCTATTTATGCTAAGATATAAGCATTGCAAGTCCGCAAGACGATCAAATTTCGCATAAATGTCGAACCCGTTTAATGTGGTGTGCTGCTAATTTTCAGTGTTGCTCAATGATTGGGGAACTTTCATAAATAACGTAGTAGTTGAGGGAGGAGAGGGGTTTCAGATGTTGGGACCGGTCATGTATTAGGGGTTTTACAAAACACGCTCCGAGGGGACCGGTTAATTGGTCAAAAATATACATAATTTATAGATGGCCCTAATTTTACTTCCAAGGCTGTGTCGCAAAACTCGTGGTTAAAAGTGACAGATGAGTTATCGAATCACCCTGCTGTACGAGCGTGGTTATTTCGGACCGACTAGAAGTTAAATTTTGGTAACCGTGGCTGAGTTCTGTTTGAAAATTGATCATTTTCCGGCATTTTCTAACATTGAAAATATCTTTCGGAATGTCATGTTTAACCACGAGTTAAATTTGTTAAATTTAACTCGGCAATTAGTACACAGCCCAAGAAGTATTTCTCGATTACTTTTTCGAAGGGACGTATCAGTTTTTGTAAACAACGCATTTGATCGTCGATTTGGCGTAACTGGTAGCTCACCCACGCATGCTAAAACGCTGTCCAGACTGGAGAGTTATAACATGTTATAACGGTTGTCAACTAATTGCAACACAGAAACCACCATCAAGATAGCGCTATAACACTAACATTAGATAGAGGAAATTTTCCTCTGTCTGATATAGTGGTGGAGCGAGCTATCAGTTATGCCAAACCGACGATAAAATGCGTTTTTTACAAATGCTGATGTGTCCTTTCGAAAAAGTAAGCGAGATTTGTAGTTATCATTCAGGCAAGGAGTGCCTGCACCATCGAGGCGACGCCGCTACCAGCAGCCAGTGATCTCGACGGGAACGAAGCGCAAAGTTCGAGGTGCAAAACTCGAACGCTGCGCGCTTTACAGGAACCACTGTCTTCCTACTACTGCTGCTGCGGTTGCTGTTACCCGCTCACCCACCGTTTGAAGCGAACATGAGTTGAAGCACAAAAGCAGCACTGTTTTATATCTTTTAAAATTCTAGCAGTACGATGTGCAACCAAATGGTTCTCGATTATCACGACTGGGTTTGGGTAGAACGTTTATTTCATGAAAACAGTGATAAACTACCACTTTTTATTTGTACATTTTTAAAACATTTTTTTATGAAAAATTGAAAAAACGTTACAGCTTACGAGAGTTATTTCCTATCGATTAATGTATTTAGATTTTAATTTCATCTATAAATGACAAAGTTGTAAGCGTTCAAAACCTTACACCTTTTCGTGACGATCGCAATTTTAGATTTTCTATTTATCCCCAGTACCTTCCCGTAAGACGTAGTCTACGTCAAAATAAGATTTCATGATTCAATAAAGCAGAAACAGCGTATAAACATCTTCCTTAAAAAATATTGATTTTTATGACAATGTCTAAGCCCTTCTTTTTCATTACCAATCATATACATATAGAGGGAATACCTACCACTTCTTGCATCCAACTATCCATCATTTTCGAGAACTGCCGGTCTCCGGTTCCAGCGCTTCTCCACCGATCGTCAACGCTGAATTCAGAAGGCTATACTTTGTTTTTACTATTCCGGAATTCTTTCGCTGCCACTTTACCCCTCTCCGTATCCAATTCACCCAGTTGATGAGTATATAAAGAACTCTGCCGCCAGCACACAAACAAAACTCCCGATCTTGATCTACGGAGGAGCCACACCGTCCAACATGAACAACACGCAGCACGTCAAATGGAGGTAATAATTACAATCTTTCGACTTCTCTTCCTGTGCGGTTTTTTTTCTGCCTTCTTCTGCTCAAGTTTGCAGCTCTTCTACGAGAGAACTAGGTAGGATCTACGACGACCGGCAACACACCACTTTTGGTTTTACTTCTATATATACCTTCTTAGATACATTTATTGGGGAAGAACAACGCACGTAACAAAACTAGCCAACACCCGCGGCGGCAGCAATCGAAAGGGAAGGCGAAGAGAAGCCAACCGAAAATTCACTTTTATTCTCGTTATTTCATAGTCAGCAACAAAACAACAACACCATGCCGAGAGTGGCAAGAAGATGGAGAAAAACGCGAAATTGTTATTAAATTTTACGGCTCCGCTGCCGGCTGCTATACTACCTTCTACTTCAGGCACTGCTGTTTTTACGTCGAGTTTTGGCTGTTTCGCTAATGTGTTCAAATAATTTCTCTAAACCTTTTTGCGTGTTTCACGTATTGTTTTTTTTTGTGCTCCCTGTCGTTGGCACTGAAACCTAATTCTGGACACGGGTTCCTACCGACGAAACACTTACACTTAAATACACTTAGTATCTATATAGAGTTTCCGTAAAGGCTTCTCGTCATTGGGCAGCGGAGACGGCTGAAAGGCACTTGGTTAGGAATCTTCGAAAGTTGCGAACGCGAAGATCTACGCCGCGGCAGTGGGTTCTATGTAGAATTGAATTTGCGACCGGATCCGGTAAGTCTAAAAAAAATATCCAGGAAGATTCCCGTATAAATCGAACAAAAAACACTTTTAAGAATGACGGGAAAAGTTAGATCCGCATCGAGCGACATGAAGTCTCGTACTGAAAGAGATACGATTCGCGAATTTATTTTTCATATATTCTCGCTCTTCTTGGCCTGTCTGGTGCTTTGGGGCCGCGTAGTCGCTTCTAACTACAATATAAACTTCTCGACTTGGCGGCTGACGTTGCCGATGCTAATGATGATGACGATAATGACGATCCCCGTACCGTAGCCAAGCCAAGCTTGGGGAGTACATATGTATTGTGTTGGTGGACGGAATCAAACACATATAGGGAAGGATGGCGCTTCTGAATGGCGAAACCGAAAAAAAAAAAATAATAAAAACATTGCCAGTCGTTTTCCGATGATTGCGACGATGATGTTGATGAATGATGACGATGATGCTGACCACAAAAAAACAGCTGTTGGTGGTGTGGGTTTCAACGGGAGGGAGAGGCCCACTCTGAAGCTGAACTAATAACATCAGAAACAACAACAACAACAACCAACAACGGTGGGATCGAGATCGAACGAATACAGAGATGCGATTTGGACGCTTGTTTTCGGTGTCCAACCAATATTCGAGGAATACAGTAGTGTCTCCATTTGTGCAGGTCGCGAGAAATTCCAATCGAAATCAATGAATTACATCCGGCGCCGGTGGCTTAGTGGTAAGTGTTTCTGCTTTCTCACTTAGTTTGTCTGGGTTCACTCCATCCCCAGCCGAGGTCGGTGGGATTTTTCTGAAGCATATACAAATCTCTGGTCACGTCTTCCTCCAGACCATGTCATGTGATTTTGATGTCCGTCGGTAATTGTCCCTCGATTGCGGAACAGTGACAGACATTTAATGAAGGAATTAAGAAAAAGAATAATAATTATGAATTACAGGTGATGTGTGGATTTGATAGGATAAAATTTTCCCATCGTAATTCACAGGAAAAAGGTGAAAGCTGTTGAAATTCTGGATGAATTCTAGCTGTGCCTCCCCATGTAGTCACATGTTACATAAATACTTTACTTTCTTAATATCCATTTTGTTCCAATTGGGAGCACAGATGGACGGAATACTGTACATACTTGGAATTGCCCGAGTGTATGTTTCATTATAACATTATTACCGGTTAGTTTAGAAGTTCCTTTCACCAAAATATACCGGCCACCGTCCATCATTGGTCGGCGTATTAATTATACGCACGATAAATTAATAGTACGGTGGTATTTACACACCAGAGTCGATACGGTGACTTGTTTACATATTTGCCATAGGTGGGGGTTGTATTCTTCGTAGAATTCCTTGGAAAAGGCCTAAATGAGTTGGGCAAATATTACCAGCAGAGGTCTTTCCAATATATATATATATTTTTTTGTTTATTAATTTATTTGATAAGGCTCAACCGAATTAACTTTACAGAGCCGATGATTCTGGTTCACTAAACAATACATCTTAAAACTATAGTCAAAAGGTACAACACAATAAACGCTTTATCTTCCGCTATCTAATAAACCTCCTCCGCCAGAACGGGAGTCGCTTCCAGTTGTTTCATAGTATGGCAGAATCGCCAACGGGGGGTCAGAGCGCATCCGTTGCAGCGATGGACGCAAAACGTGGTCAGCACTAACACATTTATCACGAAACGGTTGCTTACCAAAGTCAACGACGCATCGACTGAAAGAACTGCTGATGAAGAACAGTGAGGAGGACCAAACAATGGTTGCTGCCGAGTAAACAGACGACCGCGTGACGACCAAGGTGGCCATTCCTACCGATTTATCGGTAGTCCTACCGGTTTTCGGGATGCCTACTGATTCAGTCAAACGACAAGCGACCCTGCAGAAAAGACAACACTGATCACCGTGGACGAAATGGAACTGGTTCGCATAAAATAAAATAAACTATTCCAAGTAGATGTTTTCGAGGAAGAGATTAGGTACTTGGTGAAGGGAAAAGCGGTTCCCAAGCATTCACACTTACGCCTTTTGTACCCCTTCGTCGACCCGGAAGACATTCTCAGAGTTGGAGGTAGATTGCGTCTTTCGGAGCAGCCTTATTTAACCAAACATCGTATCCTCCTACCCAGTTCCCATCCATTTACACCATTACCACCTGAGACTGTTACATGATGGCGGCCGTGTAACCCTAGGAGCCAAGCGGCAAGAGTACTGGCCAATTCAAGGACGTAGATTGGTCAATGGTATTGTTAGAAACTGCTTTCGATGCGCTCGTGCTTCACCCGTACCCACCAAGCAACAAACCGGACAGTTACCTTAAGACAGAATCACTTCTAGCCGTCCGTTTTCAGTCACCGGTGTTGACTATGCCGGCCCAGTATACATCAGGCCAATCCACAAACGACCTACACCAACCAAGGCCTACATCAGTGTCTTTATATGCTTCGTCACCAAAGCCGTGCACCTGGAGCTTGTGAGCGATGTATCCACTCCCGCATTTATCACTGCACTGCAAAGATTCATCGCTCGTCGTGGTTGCCCTGCACACATCCATTCCAATAACGGAAAAACTTTCAGCGGCATATGGCACCGCCGAAAGCCCCACATTTTGGTGGGTTGTGGGAGGCAGCAGTGAAGATCGCGAAGAAGCACTCACATCGACAGTTCGGTAACGCAATGCTCTCGTTCGAAGTCCACCGTGCTGGCACAAATTGAGGCAGCACTGACTGAGGACCCGAAAGATTTGGCTATGCTCACTTCGGCACACTTCTTTATTGGCACACAATGACCGCTCTCCCCGAAGTCGACGTTAGCAACATTGACACCAGTCGTTTGGGCCACTAGCTGCGTCTTCAGCACAAGGCCAGCAATTTTGGAACCAGTGGAAGACCGAATACTTGCAGGAGCTGTAGAAGGAAAACCGAAACATCACACCGAATACTGCAATCCAGCCCGGAAGATTGGTCGTCGTCGATGAGTTTCTCGCTCCCGTGAAGTGGCCACTAGCAACAATCGTCAACACCATCCCCGGACCAGATGGGCTCATCCGAGTCATCGATCTGCCAAACCAGCAAGGGAATCATCCGTCGTCCGATTGCGAAGATTTGTATGCTGCCGTTCGAAGAAGCTTAGAATATTTTGATTGTGTGTTATGCTGTTTTCGTTTTTGCGGTGTAGCTACACCGGTGCTACACTGCCGTACACCGAAATATTTTAGGGTGTAGATATAGGATGCACCTTTGTTTACAAACAAATGATGTTCAGCTGTCAAAGACTCGTGCTTATTCCTGCTTACACCAGTGCTACACCGCAAAAACGAAAACGACATTAGATTGATTTATCCTTTTAATTTGTCGAACCTCTTAACGGAATCCCTTTATGAAGAGCTTTGAGTGGGTTGGTTTATTTCCTTTAAATTCCGTTATAATTGCTTATCTTTTGACAGATACGCGTATTTTGTCTACTACTTGCAGACTTCATCAGTGCCAAGTACTCCCACCACTGAAGAATCCATCTTTTATATACGAGTTATATACTAATCAATAGGTACTAAAAATCAGCAGGTATCCACTGCCATGTCAAAATTTACCTAACCAGGTACCTAAATTCAGTCTGCAACAGGTAGATGCATGCTACGATGTGTTGTTTTAGGTAGCATGCTAAAGAGTCTCGAGTATCCGTTTCCGACATTAGATTGATTTATTTTTTCATGAATTATTATGACAGGAGTTTGACAGAGTGAAATTCAAAAATTTCAGGTTGCTGCGATGTCACTTCTCAAACTGATTGTTGCCCACTAGCTCGTAGTTCTAGTACTGCACTGCCAATATTGTATGCAAGTTGTATAGATGAAATGTTCCAACACAACGTAGGTTTAAATAGACAATGTAAGGGAATAAAAATGAGATAGTAAATTTCCAACCGCCAAGAAATAAAGATCGTTTTTCAAATTGAATAAAGTGTTGGTGAACTTGAGTGCATACTCCGCCGATGTTGCCGTCCCGTTTCTGGTGACTAGTGTCCGTGTGTTATCCCGAAAAACCCCACCGGAAAACCACGATCCTGCCCTAACATATTGGTGTAGGTTGACAATCTGTGAATATTGTGAGTGCTTACGCAACGGTTATTGGGCGGTCATTAAAAAAAAGTAATAAACGCTTTTCATCGCTTGCTGTATAATGATTATTTGGGATTCATGAAAAAGTGTAGCAACGCCATTCAGGATTACTCTCTACTAAATTTCGAAGCAGCTGTTAGGAATTGGCTTTCACCAAAATAATAAAGCTTGAGTTTAAATATACATCTATAAAGGTTGTATAAAAAATTCGTCTACTCCTAAACCGTATACATATCAGGCATAACATTTGATAATGGCACAAAAGCATTTGTAAACAAACTTTCTAAGGCCCTTTACACGCGAACCAAAGTACGCCCACGCAAACAATATTTAACCCGGCTTCAACAGAAAGCTGTGTAGTGATTATTGGATAACCGGAAAAAGGTTGAATAAGCGCCTTTCAAGTTCGCACACAACTAAACAGCAGGATAACAGCTGTTTAGAAACGTTAATGGAAATGCAATAACAGCTTGATCCAACTGTCCCAACAGCCATAAGTAGCTGACTAAATTCGCCAGATTTGCTTGTAAAGAGGTTGAGTAAAGGTTTCCTCATATCGTTTAACATATGAATACAGCTTGAGGCTGTACTAATGAAATGAGTAAAGCGTTTACATTGCGAAAATTGTAAGTTGGGTAGTTGAACAGATTCTCCAAACCAGTGTAAACAAGGGTTTTACAGAAGTTATGATTGAAACAGATTGTACGGTTATTATTCAGCGTGCAGCTGAATAAAATCACAATGCACGCGTTTCTTCAACAAGAAATTGATTTTTGGGTAAATATTTTCCTGAATACGTTAGGCAACCCCTATCGACAGTTTGTTTACTCGATCAGGGCATTGTTCGTTGCGCGCATTGTCTTTACCCGCAAATCGGTCGTGTGTGGTTGCTGTGAACAAAAATTAATGATGGATTTAATTGGAATTAATTGGAGCAAAATTTGCTTTGAAAATGGTGCTGGAAGACCGCCGTTAATTTCGCGGATCCTGTCCAC